GTTCGGAGTAGGCTCCTTTGTGATCGGGTTAATGAGTGGAATTTGAAGATGATAACCCTCTTGTCCTTTGCAATAAATCAATAGGTATTGCAGAGCGTAATAAAACTTGTGTGTATCGGCTACCCGTTGCAACGTATCATCACGTGCTCGCAAGAAAATGTCTCGTACAGAAAATTGATCACCACTAATTACGGCTGCTATTTCGTTTATAAAAGGTGCATTGTAGCGCCTTTCATGCTCTCCTCGAGGGGTCTCATTTGCGTAAATGACAACTTTATAATTCTCTTCAGCTAGGTTTTCTAAAGCGGTTTTATATGTTCTGACTAAAATGTAACGTTCATTCAAGAATCTTTGAATTTTGAATACTTTGTCTCTATCAACTCCCTGGATAAATTGGTAGCGATGGTCTACTTCAATTTATTCGTCACCCATAAAATATACTTGCAAAAATTTATGCTGTTCGTTTTCAGCTGGAAAAAGTGAACCTATTCTATGATAAATTTGCCCTTGCAAAGTAAATGTAGGCGAAAATTCCGGCATTATTATTTCCCGGTCAACTCCGAAGGACGTCATTTGAAAGCATGAGTTATATTTTCGGATCCTGTTTAAAAAGCGCCGTGCTTATTAGCATCGTATAAAAAGAGAGTATTCAAAGGTTCTTTTGGTTCCACAAGTAACGGAAGAGACACTTTTCAATTGGATCATCACATGCCTGCGGTCTCATCTTTTCATTTTAAAGCGCTGCAAAATCACCACGCCTTGTCCATTAGTCCGATAACAACTAACCTGTGATTTTTATAATCAATCAACGGATCATAATTGGATGCTGTGTCATTAAAAACCGACCAATTGTTTCTTTGAAAATTTTGGCTACGTTCAGCTTGGAGCTGTGCATTTGCATCTCTTCGCGCCTATGTCTTTTCTGGTGTTTCAGATGCCCTTATAGTAGATTGATGTTCAGCTTGCTCAATGAGTCTGTGTTGAGTTTCATTAGGTGTTTCCGCGGTTCTAAAGGCGGCCTGACGTTCCGCTTGTTCGAATAGCCTTTGCTGACTTTGAGCAGGTGTTTCAGTAGCTCTTAAAATAGATTGACGCTCTGCCTGTTCAAGGCGCCTTTGCTGACTTTGATCAGGTGTTTCAGTAGCTCTTAAAATAGCTTGACGCTTTGCCTGTTCAAGACGTCTTTGCTGACTTTAGGCAGGTGTTTCTGTAGCTCTTAAATTAGCTTGACGCTATGCCTGTTTAAGATGCCTTCGCTGACTTTAAGAAGGTGTTTCAGAAGCTCTTAAAGCAGCCTGACGCTCTGGTTGTTCTTGCCTTCTCAGTTCAGTATCTTCTAAAGATTCTAGCGATCGAGCTAATCTTTTAAAGCTTGTCTTTGAGAAGATACTCTTGAAATGCTGGACTTACGTTTGCGAGTTATTATGAAGAAACAAAAAACCTATTCATAAAAAAACGTAAAATACCTAAAAGGAATTAAATTTACTTTTGAATATTTTTTAAAAGCAAATCCAAAATATCTAAAATGAATAAATATTCCTTTTAAATATTTTTTAAAGTCAAAACAACAAAACCAATTCAAGACACAACACCAATCCGAAAGCGATAGCCAAAAAAAATCGAATTAACTTAAACCAAATCACAAAACAAATTGCACAAAACCGAAATCGAAACAATCTAAAACAACGAAAACCAATTCACGATTCTAAATAAACAAAATCCAAAATCAAAGGCAGAGTCTAAATATGTATAAAGGAATACCAACCAAATCATCAAAACCGATCCAAGAAAATACGCAAATCCGAAAATGAAAGCCAATATAAATCCATTCAACCTTAACTAAATCACAAAGCAAATAACAAACAACCGAAATCGTAAGCATATGACTATATGCTTTCGATTCGACTGAATAAGCTACGAAATAGAAACAATACCGTTTGCACTATAAGTTGACGCGCGGCTCAACAGCGTGAGTTAAGTACATGTCAGGAAAAATTTCGTTACCGCGTTTTAATAACCTAGTAACGACATCTAGCGGAATCAATTTAAACTATGCATACGTTAGTTAATAAGAACTCTCAAAAATATTTTTCTTATAATTTTGCACAATTTTTCTTATTGTAATACCGATTCGTTCATACATATATGACATAAACACTCACGCCTGTCACCCAGAGGGGTAGGCAGAGACCACGGACTTCCATTTGACACGATCCTGACATACCTCTTTCGCCTCCTTTACATCCATATATCTACGCATACATGCTCGTCGGTTAAGGGTACTTTTAACGTGGCCCGTTTTCAAAATATCGCCAATTTGGTCGATAAACTTTTTTCTAGGGCGTCCCTTCCCGACTCTGCCGTTCACATCTGCCAAATAAATTTGTTTTGTCACTCTTTCCTCATTCATTCTTTCTACATGACCAAACCACCGAAGCATTCCTTTCTTAATCCTGGTCACAACATCATCTTGCATACCACATTTATCTCTTAATATGCAATTTCTCATCCTGTCATTCAGATTCAACCCTGGCATACTCCTTAAAGACCGCATTTCTACAGCATTTATTCTAATTTCATGCTTCTTCTGCCACACCCAGCTTTCAATACCATACATTAAAATAGGGACTAACACAGCATTATGAATTACCATACGTGCCTTTTTTGATACATTCTGGTTCTTCACAATAGAGTGTAGTGCCCCATTCACTCTACTCCCTGCATTTACTCGTCGTTCTATATCCTTATCATATCTACCATCCCTGCTAAATACACCTCCCAAATACACAAACTCATCCACTTGCTCAATTAACTCTCCTTCTATTCTTATTTCACATACCGTTTTGCTTTCCTCTATTTCAAAAACCATCACTTTCGTCTTACTTGCGTTCACTTTCATTCCCCTTTCTTTTAATGCCCAGTTCATTAATGTAACCATCATTTGTAACTCAGCCGCCGATGACGCAAATATGACTTGATCATTAGCATAGAAAAGGCATTTGACGGTTAACTCGCCCATTCTTAACCCACATTCTTCATCTTTCAAAGTTTGCAAACACCTGTCCATAAATAGGTTGAACAGCCACGGGGACACAGCCCTGTCTGACACCTTTATGGATGCCAAACCAGTCCGAGTAGACCCCATTGATCCTAACACAAGCACTAGAATCCCTATAAAGAGACCTCAACGCCTGTATCAAACCAGCGCTCAACCCATATGAGTTCAGTGTTAGCCATAACACATTCCTGTCCAATCTGTCATAAGCCTTTTCCAAGTCCATGAACGCACAAAAAACTTTCTGGTTTTTAGCCAAAAACTTCTCCGCAATCATGCGAATGAAAAAGACTTGATCTGTACACCCCATTCCTTTTTCTAAAACCCGCTTGCACATCCCAAATTTTTCCATCAGTTTCTTTCATAACTCTTTCAATTAACACCTTAGCATACAGTTTACCCACAATACTAAGCAAGCTGATACCACGGTAGTTTTTGCAGTCCTGCTGTCACCCTTTTCCTTTATATATTGGTATTATAACTGTTTTACACCAGTCATCCGGTACCCGTTTTAATTCCCAACATAAATTAAACAAGGTATATAGCAGGCCTGCCACCACTCCCTCTCCAGCCCTTAGCACCTCGAGTGATACTTTATCATGTCCGCTTTTCATTGCTTTCATTATTTCATCTACACTTATCTCCATACCCCTTTGTACTTTTTTCGGAATTTCTTGTTCATTTAATTCAGACGACTCTTCACTCATTAACACGCTTTCAAAGTATTCCTTCCATCCGTTTAAATTAGAAACTTCAGCATTCAGAATACATCCATTCTCGTCTCTTATAGCATTAATTATAGGCTGTTTTGTATTTCCCTTGGCAGTTCTTACGAGTTTCCAGAACATTTTTATATTAGCCTGGAAATTATCAGATATCCTTCTATCATTCTTATCCGTTCTTTCTTTCTTTTTCCTTTCAACTACTTTTTCACTCTCTTATTTAGACGTCTAAATTTTGCCTTTTTTCTTTCAATCTCATCATTCATACCACCAGAATTACCAGTTTTAGTTGCTAGTAAATCTAACCATGCTTTCTTCTTTGATTCAACTTCCACCCGCACCTCATCATCCCACCACAACGTATTCCTTTTCCATTCATTTGTTCTCTTACTTACACCACATACTTCGGTGGCTGCATCCACCAAACCTTTCTTAATATTATCCCACACAGTATTCAAGTCTAAATCATTCATACAAAACTCATTCAAACACCTAATATTTTCTCTGAGTCTACATTTATACTTCTCTTTCACATCTTCATCTTGTAACTTCTCTATTCTTATACGCTGTAACGCAGTGGTAGACACAGATGTCCGATGCCGCCAACGCTTGAAAAGACCATTAATTCGACATAAGACCAAGTAATGATCCGTCCCTACGTTGGACCCCCGGTAAACCCTTGTATCTACGACTGCGCTCCTCATTTTTTTCATCCACAATTACGAAATCTATCATGCTTCTATCATCACCTCTTTCCCATGTATACATGTGAATCTTCTTATGACGAAAAAAAGTATTCATCACAAAGAGATTCTTTTCAACACATACGGTGAGGAGGTCTTCACCATTCTCATTTATACTTTCATCACCAAACGTTCCCAATATCCTTTCATAACCAGACCTCTTCACCCCAACCCTTCCATTAAAGTCTCCTAACATAATAATATTTTCATTTTCCTTACATTTTGTAAACACCATCCTTACCATGTCCCAAAACTGCTCTCGGATGTAAGTGGGCTTAGACATGTCTGCGGCGTACACCCCTAGCAAGAACAGCTTCTTTAACCCTAGATCACTAACCATTCGTCTCTCAGACTACGCATACCCCCGCAATTCATAGTTCGGTAGGTTCGCGGCACCCTCCTCCCCCGCTCAGTACCTTCCTGATTGGTCCTGTTAGTGACCCGTGTGCACTTTTGGTGGTCGCATTCACTTTGGAACAGGACATACAGCCGTCGCGTCGTCTGACAGACGAAAGGTTAGTGACTGTGTAACATTATTTTTAGTTATAATATTTTTCTATTTTCAAGATTACTTTTATTATATTTTACGCTACTCGGTTTTTTTTACCTATTAATTGTAAAATAGGAATAATGTGCTATTATTTGTGGAATAAAAGTAAAGGGAAAATTTATTTTGGAGACTTTATGAATATTTTTGGACCATTTTACGATATTGTTTTGATTTTCAATTTTATTTTTAGATGGATTTGAGAGGAGATGAGGAGCGCATTCGACGTTGGTTGTGTGAGTCAGACATCGAGTCTAACCACGATGAAGCAGAGGAACTATCGGAATCCGAAAACGAAGATAATATGGTGGCAGATGCCCACGTAGGAACTGATGAAAACGAGGAAGGAGGTTCGATGTCATCTGATGAGGAGATTTTCGTCATCAGGCGCTCACGTAAGCGAAGATTTGTAGGTTCAGATGATAATACATCCGATACAGGTCAGTTGGGGTCTGAGTCCATCCAGCATCAGCAGGAGCCGCAGGAGCCTGAGTCATCATTTGTGATCCGTTCCAATAAAAACCACCTTTATGGAAAGAGCGGTTATAAATGGTCTACTAGACCTCGCAATCCACGAGCAAGAACATCTTCTCGTAATGTGATTCACGTAGTCTCTGGACCTGCAGGTGTAGCTAAAGAAATAACAGACCCCAGAGAATTATTTCTCCTGTTCATTTCTCATGAAATGATCAATGAGATGGTTACTTATACCAACACGGAGATTGATATCAAGAAGTCTAAATACAAACAGAAGAAGTATACCAACTCGCATACTTCCACTAACGAAGTGACGGCTTTACTGGGTCTCTTGATACAATCAGCGACTATAAAAAGTAACCACTTGCCCACTAGAACACTATTTGACCACAAACGGAGTGCAATTACTTTTAAAGCGTGCATGAGTGCTGATAGGTTTGAATTCTTACTGAGATGCCTTGGGTTTGACGACAAGACAACAAGAACAGAGCGGAGGGCCTCTGACAAGTTTGCTCCATTCAGACAATTTTGGGAGGCATTCATAAGCAACTGTGTAAAATGGTATAAGCCCAGTTCATACATAATTATTGACGAACAGCTTGTTGGGTTCAGAGGACGTTGTCCATTTAGGATGTACATACCCAATAAGCCAAATAAATACGGTCTTAAGTTTATTATGATGGCAGACTCGAACACAAAATATTTATGCAATGCCATTCCATATTTAGGCAAGGGAACTAATCCAGGAACCGAACCTCTTGCGAGCTATTTGGTGAAGGAGATCACCAAACCCATACATGGTTCGAATTGAAACTTAACTATGGACAATTGGTTTACATCCATTCCTCTTGCTACCGATATGTTCCAGGCTCCATATAAATTGACAATTGTTGGTACATTGCGAAGCAACAAACGGGAAGTACCCCAGGAAATAAAAAACTCTAGAGCACGGCAAGTGGGCACTTCAATGTTTTGCTTCGATAACGAGATTACCATGAATTCATACAAGTCCAAGTCTAACAAGATTGTTTACCTTTTATCAACCACCCATGATCAACCCACTGTCAATGATGTTACCAAGAAGCCGGAAATTATTCATTTCTATAATTCTACAAAGGGCGCTGTAGATACCGTGGATCAAATGTGTTCTATCATGAGCACTGGTTGCAAAACCAATAGATGATCGCTATGCTTATTCTATGATACTGTAAACATTAGTATCATAAACGCGTATGTTGTTTACGTATGCAATATGATCCGACACCATCAGAAACGCTCAAGAGGAGAGAATGTGCCTTGTAAATGGCAGATGAACTAATAAAACCCTGGCTACTCGAGCGCTACAAAACGGTGACTTTGCAGCGTGATGTGAAAAAGAGTATTAAAGATATTCTCAACATTGAAGTGCCACAAGAAAGTTGTGTACAAGAGCTACATAAAACAAGAAAAATATGTGGATTTTGCCCAGCAAAAAAAAAAAGGCGAATGACAAAATATTGTTGTACATACTGCAAAAAGGCCATTTGCGGATAGCACACAGTTCCTATTTGTAATAGTTGTAAGAATTAATATTGTTTGTTTTTCATCGTTTTGTTTGATTCCTCAAAGAAAGGACTTTCAAGTTTTTGTTTCTTTTATAAAATAAATAACAACGATTTTGAAAATATTTGCGTTTCATTGCGTAGTCTGTGAATCGAATGGTTAGTGATAGTGTTACACCGATTTAAGGTTAGTGATCTAGGGTTAAGCCCACTTTCATTCGTATCCATAGTAGCCTCGGGCTTACACATTCATACTCTTTCACACATTGGCCCATTCTTTCTGAAAGGATGAAACCGACTCCCTGGCATGCCCGTTCGGTCTCGTCTACACCAGACCAATACGCGGTATACGTGCCATGTGCAGTGGCATCCTTTCCCTTTCGTTTCGTCTCATTTACACATAACACATCTATTCCTCTATCATTCATCATTTCGCATACTTCTCCATCTTATCATTCATTGCTCCACATACATTCAGCGTAGCCAGACGGGCTTCCGCAATCCACTTTTCGCCCCTCCGGGAGACAGAACGTGACGGGTGGCGAACCTCGTCGCCGGTTTTTCTCTCGGAGATTCTTCGCACTTCTTCGATTCGTTCATAACCACATAATATAAGAACTGTATTAATTTTCGTTCAGTAAATATTACTAAGGCTTATTAATAAGGCTTATTAATAAGGCTTACTAAGAAGTGTTTCTACCACAGTTAAGTAATAGTTTTAAGTAATAGTTAAGAGTGAAAGCGTGACAGGTGGTGATAGTATTTCTGATCCATACTTATAATCACGCCTGTAACCCTTGCGGGGTAGGCAGAGCATCAACGGATTACTTAATATAGTCTGCGAGGTTATCGCCTATTCTGTGAATTACAATGCACCAAAACGTTTGCAGAAAATCAGCTGGTGAATTTTATGTTTTTTATCGCTCTCTTCCCGATCCTGCGTGGAAAAATACAGATCCATACATTTTTTATCTTAATTTTGGTAAAAAGAACGAGGAATGAGATGTTTTTCCGAGGAAAAAGTAACCTATGTCACTCTACAGATACCGAACTATCCCCATACAAAAAATCATGCCATGCCGACGCTCTGTTGCGACGTGAAAGAAGGACAAACAAACAAATAAACAAACAACAAATGAATATACTGTATATTTATTACGTGTAAATTTTGTTTGAACCAATCATAGCTCTTAAGAAAAGAGAAGCGAATCAAAGGATAAACCTAAAATTGAAAAAGTTTGGTATCCCACACATAGGTCTACATAACGACCGATGCTACAACTTTTTACGTAATCCTATTAACGATTTTTGGATTTTTCTTTGCTTCCACTGTGAGACCTTGCTGTTTGTAAAATTTTGTTTGTATGACAATGGGAAGTAGCCTAAAGGATTTTATGAGTGGCTTTGCTAGTTTAAAAATTTAAATATGAAACAATAATGGCAGTACCTTTTAAATATTTTGACTTGAATGTTATATTAATGGCTCCGTAGTACGCGGTGGTTCAATAATGAATTGCAGAGCTGAGAGCCAAAGGTTCAAATTTTGTCCGGAACAGTTATTTGTATTACCTCGGATAATTGTACCGGGTCTGGATGTTTGTCTGTGTGCAATTTATGTCTGTAAACTAAATCTATGATACGGGGGGAGCTCCTGGAAGGTTGGTAAAAAATTATTTAAATTTTTTACCCTAAACTAGTACTAGAATCATTGCTCGTTTTGTTTTTCTTTTGATCTCCTTTTTCCTTGCTATTTCTTACACATAAAGCCAGCCTCAGACCAATTTTATTATTATACGTAAACTTAATTAATAGCTGTCTCCCTTTTTTACCGTCGGACAATTGCAACGTCGGTAACATTAAAAGGAAATTAAAAAAAATGGCCAGGTGAGTGTCGGGCCACGTACAATGTAGGGGTAGGTTCCGTAGTTGCCCGTAATAATAAGTGAATTTTAATGGAGTTCTATTAATAATATGAGCATTTTAAATGAATTTATAGGAAATTACGACAAATCTTCTTGTCAGTTATAACATAAAATTTCAAAACATGATTGTACAACTAGTGGGTGTTATCAGAGAAGATTTATGGATCTGAGACGTGGTCTTGCACTGCTGGGTATATGAGGAAAGGCCGCTCGTGAGAAGTCTATGCTCGGGGTTTCTTTGCGCGATAGACTAAAAAATTAAGATCTTTGCAGTATAATTTTTTTGCAAGTAATATTCTATTATCTTCTTACTTAGTTAGCGTAGATATTGACTTGACATGTAATTTTTTTCATAAGTTCATAATTGACTATGACTCGGAAAAAATCACTGCAGGCTTTAAACTGTTAGAGCTATCACCTAAAGGATAGACACGGTTAACTATTCAGACCTTAGAGATATCACTTTGAGGTTAGACAGGTTTTGACTACATCAAGAATATATTGTATTTTTCAACAGTAAGGCCAGGGAGATCTTTAAAGAGTACTGCTAACATACATTATTTTTGTATAGATAATGAATTAATTTATGACAACCATTACTCTGACTTCGAACCTTTAAATCTTAGTTGTGTTAACAAATACTGCAGAATATTAAATGAAAAAATAAAACAACGTCAAAATAACGAAAAAAATATTCACAACACTTCGTCTGATCACAAGAAAACAACTAATGTCGCGTTTTGTTGGGATGCTTTAGCCTTTTATATTTGTTTTTGCCACCAAAAGAAACTTTGAAACCGTTACCTGTAAACGGTTATAGTTAGGGATCATTTCAAGATACAACGCTTAGTAATGCATCGTACACAATTTTAATATCCGATTGCTTCAAGGCGATAAAAAAAAACTATTATTTCAAATTTGGAATCCAAGCTGAATGTTTGATACCTAGACGATGGTACACTGGAAGTTAAAGCAGATGACGTCCTCAGTGATCTTACTCATATTTTTCAAAATTTTAAAAATATTGGTCTTGAACCAAATAGCAATAAATGTGAAATATTTATTTCCAATAATTTATGTAATTCTAACACAGATACTTTATTTAAAAATTTCAGATTTCTCCAGGAATAAAGACTGTCAATACGAAAACACTTTACCTGCTCGGTGCTCCGTTGTTTTTCGATAGTATTAAACCTGTTTTAAAAACAAAATTTGATCAATTTTTAAATCATGTTGATAAATTATATATCTAAACCCCCATATTGCCCTTACTATTTTAAAATATTGTCTCATTGTACCTAAATTAACATACTTATTACGCTCAAGTCCAGTCTGGGAATGTTCGGATATTTTAAAAGATATTCATAGTAATCTTAAAATTGAACCGTCACCCAGAGGGGTAGGCAGAGACTACGGGACTTCCGTTTTGCCTTCTTCTTTCGCTACTTTCACATTAAATTCTTGACGGGTAAGCGTTGTTTACATATACATTCCGGCATTTCTTACCATCTCGTCACTCCACCTAATTGAGGTAAGCACTACATTTAGCTTATTGGTGCGATGCTCTCACTCGAGAGACTTTCCTCCCCATCGGTTTTCAGTTCTGCGGGCAATATGGCCGACTGATTACCACTTCTCAATCCTGGCTTTTTAAAAAACTGGCATACGCTAACTTTATACTATGTAAATTCAGAACGGATTAAAACAAGAATTTGCAACAAATAAAAGCAATATTTCTTTAATTTAGATAACGTTTTTATTCCAATGAAAATAAAGCACCTTAACAAATTTATTTTAATTAATTCGGACTCCTCTAGAAGTGCAAAACTTCTACGCCAATGTTTACCCAATCAGTAAAGATTCATATTCGATAATTGCACCAGATTATTACTGAACCAAATACTAATAAATCCCGAGATTAGAAGTAATATGACGATATAAACGAGCTTGATAATAATGCAGCTGTTGATTGGACGCAGGAAACTAGGTTAAAGTGACACTTTAAAAATGCTACGTAAACATATTATGTAAGGTCGTGACTTGAATAACGTTTGTCTAATGATTGCCATTTTCCCATAGAGTTAAAAAAAAGAATGCACTCTTTAAGCTGCATGAAGTGCAGTGCATAATAATATCGCATGCAATGTCTAGCGACTTTATTGTGGTAATAAGTGTTGAAAAAGAAGTGGAAAAGTATGCCGTCCGATTACAGTCTGAATGTCCTTTTTATAGAATAAGGGTAACAATCTAGCAAATAGTCCACCGATAGTAAGTGGATGCTGTTATTATAGTTCAGATGGGTCTTAATCCCTGCGTAATGAGATCGAATGTCTCATTTTCTGTAACAA